GTGAAGCAATATTGCACAGAGAGCGGGTTAAAGGTGCACAGTTAACAAAGAGGTGCATTGTTTATGTCACTATAAAAAACAATTTTAACATTGGATCAATTTTCAGTGGATGGATCCGCATAATTTTTATTACATGCAGGACAGAAAAAGTCGTGGCAAGCAAACTTGCCCTCGCATTCTTGCTCCAAACCACTTGATTCATTTATATTAATTATTCTAAGTCTAATGCTCAAACCTACATGCTATAGCTATGATTATATGTTTAACCCATACATTGGCTTGTTTTCTATTTCAATATTGTTCTCAATAAACGAAAACATATAGTCATAAAATAACATCGAATTTACAATAAAATAGGTATTATAAAGAAGGAAAAATAAAAATTAGATATATGTTTGTTTGATAATTTAAAATTTTTAAAAATTTGTTTCTCTCATATATTTATTCTTTAGGTTGATTGTTGTATACCATTAGTTTTTAAGGAAAATAATATAAACTAATGGGTATAACGAATAAAGAACAAAGTATTCGGCGAAAACCATCGTATATCCTTTCATTGATTCTCAATTTATTTTAAAACACAAAATTGTAAAAAAAAATAAAAAAATAAAACTTTATATCTGTATTTGTCCATATCCTCGAGTTGCTTAACTCGCCCAGCAACGTTTAAACCTCGTGTGTGGACTCATCTGTAATGATGTTTTATTTTAAAAACTTTTTACATGTTTTAATTATAATAAAATGGCAAAAGGCTTAATTTGAAAGTAGGTATGGGTTTTATAAAAAATTCTAAATGTTAATAACGAGTAAAATCGTCATTACGTTCGACCCTACTAGAGATATACACGACCCCTTTTATCTCCCCACTCCCTCCACTTTTATCCTCAAAAATTTACTAGCATCAATTCCCATAATACGCAAACAGCCCTGCAAAATTTCAGAAATTTTCGACCAAAAGCACGGGAGTTATTAAGTTTCAAAGGGGGTGAACAAATTCGAGAAAATTTCGCACTCGCGCCTGTTTGTAGAAAGAGTCTCAGCATTTTGTATTTTATTTTGACCCGGTTCTCAGTCCCCTGACTACCTACAAGTCTGGTTTATTTTATGTGCGAATGATTTAGGCAGAAAATACTCTGTGCCAAATTGCAACTCCTGATATGTCCTCCTTCATACCTCTAAGGTGTGCAGCCGTTTACAGCAGTGCGATTTTAGAGACGAGATATAGTCTCGTCAAAAAAACTTCTTTAGTAATCTACAATGGTTTATACGTTTGTTTATTAACTACAGTGTTGTGAACTGTAATAGGCAAAAATATTGTGATTATTAGTTACTGATTACAAATATTATATATTATATTATTGATGTCGATGTTTCTGTTTATGTATGATCTTAAAAACATAATTACTAACTAAAGTGGAGCTTTTTTAAATCAAAAATACATTTTAGCAAAAAGTTTTTATGGTGTATTAATTTATGATAGACACTTTAAAATCAGTGGCACATTACCCTATAGGCAAATAAGGCAATTGCATGAAGTCCCCCCACCAACAGAGGATCCTAAATCAATTTTTTTTAATTCATTAAAGTAGCAAGAATATCATAATTTAAATTTGGCATTATAGAGTGATGACACTAGATTGCCCGTGTGAAGAGAACTTAGGCACGAGAAGAAAACCCGGAAAATTTCACGTGGCCATCTCGTAAGTCAGACTCGAACCAATGACTAACTACCAATGTTCAGTAATTTTATCTATTTGGTCATTGATGGGAGCCATAGATTTATCGCGTAACATTCAAACTATAGTAGATAAACTTTCAAATTACAGTGATACCTCAGGATACGAAATTAATCCATTCCGAAATTGAGATCGTATCACCAAAATGTCGTATGCTGGGGCGTTCGTATCTTGAGGTACCACTGTAGTATAAAGTACAATATTACTGTGTTAGAAATTTATGATTGTTTGTTTGTATTTATTTTTTCTGATGCAAATTTATTTAATTTTGATGTCAGATATTCATCAAATATAAGATTTATTTAAAAAGTAGTTATTGTTTTTTCATTTCGAAATAATTAGTAAATATTCCACAAAAGAAAATTCTATTTAAAAAAACACTATTTCAATAATTCATATGTTTTTCAAGTACAGCTTCAATAATCAATATCAAAACATTCATAATTCAAGAAAATACACAATAGAATATAAAAATTTCATAATGTTTATAAATTACGTCTGAATATTTTTATTATATAAGTATTTCATTAAATACCTTTATTACAAGAAATTACATTTACATTTACTAGAATTCAAATTTAAGACAAAAACACAGAATAGATGAGATTTTACCACTCAACTAGNGATCTCTCAGCACTCCAAATAGACTCTTTTTATTGCCAATTGTGAGATCTCTCAGCACTCCAAATAGACTCTTTTTATTGCCAATTGTGAGATCTCTCAGGACTCCAAATAGACTCTTTTTATTGCCAATTGTGAGATCTCTCAGGACTCCAAATAGACTCTTTTTATTGCCAATTGTGAGATCTCTCAGGACTCTAAATAGACTCTTTTTATTGTTAGATTCTCTTAACACTTTCATTGTCCATACCTTAATCCTCTCTCTCTCTCTCCCCCCGTCCGCAATCTCTCTCTCCTGTCTTAATTCTTAATTACGTGTTAAATTTCCGCCATTTTTAAAGTGCGTAAAGTCTTGCAGCATCTCGCTCAGTAACGCTTATTCTCGTTCTGGGACAGCATAAAAAACTACAAGATAGGCCCGGCGTTGCTTGGGCAAAAAGTAACGATAGCGAAGATTAAGATTACATTATAGTCAATCTTACCCGTTTTCAAAGAATGCAAGAATTAGGTCCCCCTGTTTCTAGACTAATTACAGAATTTTTAGATGGGTCTAAAATTATGTTCGATTTCCCGCGAAAACGAAAGAACCCGCATCTACGTCTTGCACGTCGCTTTCTCTCAGCAAATTCATTGTTACGTAACACTTCCATTGTTGACACGTCCATTGTTCACACGTCCATTGTTACTTAAGTAATAATGGAAGTATTAAGAGAAAGCGACGTGCAAGATTCACAGACTGTTATAAAGCTTAAAAAATTAAATGAAAAAGCACTAACTGTATTTCGTAAAACAGATCAAGAGAGTTACGGATATATTGCTCGCAAAAAAGCTATACTAATCTAGCAAAAGCAAAAAAGAAAAGTTAACTCATTGAATAAAAAGTTACAAACCAGCAAAAAATACTTCCCTATTTTTGGTCAATTGTCAAAAAAATATCAGCTAAGAAATATAGGAAGGAAGATGATTTTATTGCTTTTGACCTGTAGTATGAATTTTTCATGGGATGGTCGATGAGGATGCAGATTAATTCGTATGAAATTGAAAGAGGTGGGAGGTCAGGTGCTGAATCTGTTTATCCAGGGGGTGGAAATAGCTGAGACAATTGGTAATTTGAGAGTGAAAACAGCAGTGGGTCCTGATTTGATTTTGATTAGTTTTTTAAAACGGCTGACAGATTTAGTAATTGACCTTCTCTCTCTTAGTTTTAATTATATCTAAAAAAGTGGAAAGTTTCCGGATCTGTGGAATTCGGTATGCCTCCGGATGATTTATAAAAGGGAAACAAGTTAAATCCTAGTAATTATAGATCAATTGCTATTTTATCAACGCTTAGGAAAAGCTTTACAGCTATATTGGCAAAAAGATTCGAACGGTGGACAAGAGAAAAGTATTTTAATTCTCCATTCTAGTTTGCATTTGTTAAGAGAGGTGGTACGGAAATAGCAATTTTTATGTTGTCATCGATTGTCCAAATTCATCTATCGAAGAAAAGATAAAAGGTTTATGCTGAATTTTTGGATCTGGAAAAAAACTTTTGACTTAATAACTATAGATTTTTGCCAATCTGAAACCGTGTCGCTATACTTTTTGTTGCTCAAACACTGAAATGGTCGATTTACTACACTTCATAGCGTTTAAGCAACTAAAACTATAGAGATGTTAAGTAATAAATTTAAAATATGCTGTACAGCTGTACAGGAGTTTCATAGGTGCGATTAAATCTTCTCTTTGGTCATTACTCGATAATATTGAATAATTAAGTGTGGAAAGAATATATACAAGTCGACCCCCCTATAAGATCATTGATTTTTCCGTTTTATCTGAATTACATGTTGTACGAGTCACTTAGATTTTACAAATATGTGAGCCGTTCACAGNGATTTTAAAAACTACGTATTTAATTTTCTTTCTGTTGAAGTTTAAATATCGATCAAAAAGCTAATCAAAAAACAGCACAGTCTTCTCACTGAAATTGTAGTATTTTTTTTTATTGTAGTGTAGGACCTACAAACACTTGTCTTTTTCTTTTACCCACGACCCCCCGTGTATGGCTTTGCGACCCACCTGGGGGTCGCAACCCACAGGTTGAAAAACACTGTCTTAAACCATATTAGACATTTTATATGAAAAGATTTGGTCTCTAAACCATTAATTTGAATGACTGTTTTATTTGTATTAATTTATTAATTTATAATTGACAATTTAAATGTGAATTATTAAATGTAAATGCAATTGTTTGAATTCCGCTAGCAACGAGTAAAAGAGAAGCATTTATTATAAGAAGTAAAAAACAATGAAAAAAACCTAATCTTGAAAAATTGAAATCCTAAAACTTATTATTAATATTAATTAAACTTGAGCATTATTATTATTTTTTTACTTTAAATAAATTGAATAATATATTAAGAAAATCAAGGAAAGAATCTATGTTTGATTATTTGCCTGATATATTATTTTTACACTGTTACAATTTGTAACCCCAATGTTTTTTTAATTTTCTTGACCTGAGGTAGATATCAAGTTCACAAATAAACTTGAAAATTTGATAAATTCACTAATATAAGACATGACTATTACTAGTTTATTTACATAATTTGCAAAAATTTTCTATTTGTTTTAGAGAATAAATGCAAATTAACTTTAAATAACTCAAGTTTGTATACAATTTAGAGCGTGAACGCCAACGCCAATTAGAAGAAGAAAGGCGACAAGAGCTAAAAGAACTTAGACAGGAGAAGAAACGTGTGGAAGTTAACATGCATGGAAAACTTCCTCAACCTTTTGATCCAGAAACCATGGAAGATGAAGAAATACAGGATAAGACTACCTTTTCTCCATTGGAGAAGAAGCTAGAAAATACTCCTGACATTGAGGATAATACTCTTGATCAGGAAGAAATTCCTATACCAAAAGTTGCCCATATTCAGAGTCAAACTGCTCATCACAATGAAGGTGTAAGTAAATAAAATAAAAAATATATGTATTTTTTTAAGCTGATTTTCTATGCTTAAGAACATGAAATGTTTTGAGATTTGATTGATAGACTTTGTGAATAATATTTTAAAATAAAAATAGCTTTAATAGTTATTCATATTTATATTTAAGAGACAACTTTTTGATACTATGTAATTATCCTGTTTTTTTTTCAAAACTGTTTTATAAATTGATACAGTTGCTCAGATGTGCTTTGTAGTGTTTTATTTTCCTCTGATTTTGTCAACATGTTTATAACACCACTTGTTTGTGTTTACCTTTATTGTTTGTGTCATGAGAGAAGCAGCAACAAGGCTGTTCATTTGATTTGTTTGTCTTGGTATGGAGTGCTGTTAGCTAAAAGTAATCTGGTGTCTTCTCAATGTTTATTTCATTGATTCCTAATTTCCTATAAAGTATTTGCCTTTCTTGAAATAGAAACTTGAATTCAGTTTAAATTCATTGTGTTTAATTTTTAAAATTTAAATATATTCTTTTAATGTAATCTATACATTAATTAGAAATGTTAATAGTTTATTATTATTTTTTTTTATGTAGTTCGAAGTTTATATAATCTCAGATAAATTGTCTGTGGCCAATATGATTATGCTAACTTATACAAAGCTGATTGTTAATTTTTTTTTTGAGATGCTGAAAATATATGATGATAAAAAGACAATCAACACAAAATTACATAAATGCTATAGTACTGTATATTCCTTTAAAGTGCCATATGTTTAATTTAAATGACCAAGATAAAGTAATTTAATTACTTGATACTGGATTTTAATCTTTCCTGTCAGTTTGTTTTAAAAAAATGTTTTATTGCTGAACTTTGTTTCAATGAGATTGTTGAATAAGGACAAATACATCTATGCTATTAAGAGAATATATTACAAATTATAATTTTTATTTCAGGCATATTCTGTTCGAAAAGAAAGTGTTGAGAAATTTAGATGGAATGGAAGCATTTACATCACACTAGCATTTGCGGGAATAGCTCTGCTCACGGCCATGATTGTGGGTATAATTCTACTGCGCCGTCACGCCCAGCGTTCTCCCCACGGCCAAGGTTTCGTAGAAGTGGATCAAGCTGCCACGCCAGAGGAACGTCACGTGGCAAACATGCAAGTTAATGGCTACGAAAATCCAACTTATAAGTATTTTGAAACACAGAATAACTGAAGTAAGTGGATGTATTTAAACTCATCAGACTTCTCCAATACCTTGCTCTAGACCTCAAGGTGTTTAGTGTTTCTGGAGAGAGCCTTCATTCATTACACCATAATACTAGCAACAGTTGGCTTTAAACTAAAGAACTAAGAGTGATATGGAATTCACACGTTGCCATAAGAGTGATGTTTTTTGTACTGTAATTTGCTAGAGTAAATCTAGTAATCACTTGAATAAAAATATACACTAAAATTCTTTAAAAAGTTCCATTTACAATCTTTACTTATATATAAATATATATATATAAATATATAAACATTTTAAATTTTGATTTTTCCACCCTCTGCAGTTTCTCAGAATTTTAAGCATATAGGGGAGAGAATTCTGAAATGTTCATTTTTATCTCCACTTAGGCTTTTAATTCTGTTTTAGATATTAAAATATATTATAAAAGGGGGAAAAATATAAATATATTTTTCATCTAAGTTTTTTTCTCTAACTTTCAAGAATATACTATGTGATCAAAAGTGAACATTCCCATTACCTAGTTTTTAAATACTTTTTATGTTGCATTTTATTTTATTGGAAAAAAACTTTATCTGTAAATATAATGTTGCTATGATTAGACTTTTACCATTTATTCTAATTTAGATTGGGAGAATGTATAACATAAGTGTGATAACAAAAAAAAAAAAAAGCTTACTTTACTATGGTATTTGCATTAAGATTTTTTGTAGACGAATGATATAAAAGTAAATGATAATGATTGGAACCAAAATTTGAAATTTAAATTTATTGTAATTTATGATTACATATAGGTCAGTCACATGCTAATGGTAAATTCTTGTCATGTATTGAGTACTATTAGTTTTAAGGTCTCTTTGCTGTATATAATTAGCTTAACAGTGCAGTGCATGACATCAAAGTCACAATGTAAGTGTTCTGTACAGGCTTTTTGTAGTGCCTACTTTTTAATGTGCCATTTTTTGAAGTAAATTTTGACCTCGACTTGTGAATTGTAGGCTACTTAATAGTTGTCACTTTCAGACATTTCTTAGTGGGTTCACAGATGTATCGATGGCTGTTTCGAAATGCATACCGGAAGTATCGTATGTAAAACATCTTCATCCATAATAGAGGTAACCGATGTTGTTTTCTTCAGTTGCTTTTATAGTATGCAATGATTTCTAACCTGTGGATTTTACATATCAAGTTGCATGTTACGAAAACTTTCATTATTGATTAATAGAAAGGTGTGCTTGTAAAATAAATGAGTGAGATTTACTTGCCAGATATAAGATGAGAAATGGTCTTCAAAGAACACTACAGGAATCGGCTCTGATGGTTTCATTTCGGTTCAGATTCAAGCGGTGTCTAGAAACATTCGCGGGAGAATCTGCACATCTGAAAGACAATTAAGGTGATTGTGTGTAAATTCTCCTGTAATCATCAAAGGTCACAATGTTGTAAATTGGAAATTTCTAATGACAAAATAAGTGTCTTTTCAAGTAGTTAAATATTATGGAAACCTAGAACATCCATATTGTTTCATATTTAAAATTGCTGTCATTTCAAGTATGACTGTACATAATTTTAGTAGTTATATGTGGCACTAGATAGCCTGTCACAGTAAATCATTTACAAATTAATATATAAATTAATCTTGTAAATGGGATAATTAACACAATTCTTATCAAAAGGTTAACATTGGAAATGTTCTCCGCAAAGTTTTCTATAACAGAACCCGCTTGAAGTCATGTCGAAATGATAACCAAATCTTAATTCTGTGTTTTTCTTTGAAGATTATTTTATAAGACAATGCCACTTTAGAGATCTTTTATTTTTATTTGAATCTTTATGGTTCCATAACTGTCTACCATAAATATTTTTTTTGTTAAAAATTATACAATGTATTTTACTAGCACTTAATTATTATTATTGGTATTTATGTTGCAATCTTTGAATTAATGTACTTGATCCTGTGACAAACAGCTGTAACCAGATGATGTGATCTAGTGTTGCCAAATAAAAAAAATTAAACTGAATTTTGTTTTTATTTTCATTATAGTTGTTTTAAACATTTAAATATCAAAATACTGTGTTTATTAATTTAAATTCTCAAGAATAAATCTAAACTAAATCCATATAAGAATAGATCAGAATAGAAAATTAAAAATAAATAAAATGTTCTCCATTATACAATATCCTTAATTATTAAGAAGTCAGTATTTAATAAAGTTTGCATTTTCTCTGAAAACATCCCTCTCCTTTTGATTTGACTGCTCATTTCTGATAATATTACATAAGATTTTAAACAAGTTTGATAAGAAAATCATCAAATTTGTACTGGAATTTTTCCTATCATCTATAGAAATTTATCACTTAACTGTAAATAAGATGATAATTTGTTATTCAGTTACCTTGTATACAGTCAGTTTAAACAATTATAATAGTTTTTAACAATTATGGAGAGTATAGAATATATTTATTACTTTCAATATGACTTCCATTGAATTCTAAGACAGTAATAAGAGTCAATTCTTAGAGCAATACAAAATGATATGAAAATTTTCAAATTAAATTTTAAAGATAATTTTATATAGTCTTATTTTTCCTAAATGAAGCTTTCTATATACTCCAAATTAATGATAAATATAGCAGAATATAATAGTAAATACTTCTTACATCATACAGTACATATGTGCTTTATATTGGCATACATTGGTAAATGCGGGCATTATATAAGCCAATTTGAATTGCTGTATTTTCTTGCTTATAAACGCTTTGCAAAAAGTTTCTACAAAGAAAATAAAACTTGCATAATCAGCCCCACTATATCCGTACCTATGGAATAGACATTGCTAGAAGTCCGGATGGTCAAGATGGCAGACTGGTACCACTCTGAGGGACCCGGGTTCGGATCCGAACGAGTCGATAAATCCCCAGGAATTTTTCGGTGGTGGTCCGTTCAGATACGTCGGGCCTGTCCCTCCCCATCCGGTCGGCCCATAATGGGCTTGCTAAAAGAAGCCGTCTTAGTGTCTACAGGGTGAAGAGTTTAAAAAAAAGTCCATTGCTTCATAGACGCAATATATGGAGGGAGTTCGTAATTGAAACTTATGAAAATTAGTGCGGGTTATATGTCGATTCATATTCTTTTAAACATACAATCCAAGGATGATATGCATGGAAATACGACAGCTTTTTTATTGTTTTTATAAATGAAAAAATTTCAATGACAAAATATCAAAATGGCCATTGAAAGGATGTCCAGCGAAGACAAAATTAAAATACTAAACTAATAAATACTAGAGTTTAGTGGTTTAATTAGTGTTGTCACAATGGCGGACTGCGATTTTTAATCATATTTTTAATTTATTTTCATTTAAAATATATACTCTCCACCTCAAATTAGTAGTGTCCTTGCCCCTGTACATCATACTTTTCCTTTAACAACAGAGTTGTGTCAGTCATCTGTCTAACACCTTCTGGGGAAAATTTTTGAAATGAAATAATGCGACTTCGGATTTGTATCAGACCTTCGTATATAGTTAATCGGAGCCTCGTGACCTCAAGGTTTCGTCTACAATTTTTTCAAATCGCAGCTCAATAAATTACATATTTTTTTTTATTGAAAATAAAAACTTCAAATTTTAAATGCTAATTGGATCAGATTGCTTGAATGGAATTGGACAATGCATCAAATGCCAAGTGCGTGCCTCCCGGGAACACTTTTTATGAGAAATTGGCATTTATATAGGTATTAGACAGGTAAAGAAAATCTGGAAAATCCCAGGCAGTCAGCCCGTTGATCAGACTTGAACCAGGGATAAACTACCAGTGTTCAGTGTATTCACTCTCCACACAAACGAAAATTTAAAATATACTTAATTTTCTAGAAGAAAACCATTAAACCCATAATTATAAAGTAATAAGCAATATCAACAATGAATATAACAAGATATTTTCAGAAATTTCTAAAAAAGAAAAAAGTGATCACTTTTAAATTACACTAATTTTTGAAAAATTAAAATTCTTAAAAGTGAATAGGCCTATTCTTTATTCATATAAAATAGTTAAAACGTAACGATAAGATTTTTAATTTACAACATTTATTTAATTAATATTTAACAAAGAGAATTTACTTACTAGAAAGAAAAATCGGNATTACGTCTGAATATTTTTATTATATAAGTATTTCATTAAATACCTTTATTACAAGAAATTACATTTACATTTACTAGAATTCAAATTTAAGACAAAAACACAGAATAGATGAGATTTTACCACTCAACTAGATGATCGAGACGTAAAATATTTTTTACCGCAATAATAAATCTATAATGTGGGTGGAAAGTAAGTAGACTTTGGGAAATCGCTATAATTTTTGTAAAAGTAATAAAGTTTGTGTGCATGTACTGTACGTTAATCAATGGGATTTTGTAGTTCCTGATGGTATGGACAGTGTCAGAGACAAGCTGCAAGCTCAGTGGCAAAAACAGATGGCCGATCGCTTGTCTGATCAGGAGTAAACGCAGATTGCTTCACGTTATGAGGTATGGAAATCAGTAATTGCTATGCAGAGATGATGGAGTGTGATAAAGGAATGTCAAGCCACAATCCATTCACAAACAATCAAGAATTGTCACTTGAATCTAATGACCACAGATTCGGTTGTGGATGCGTAGGGAAGTGGCCGTCAATCCACATCACGATCTGAAGAAAACGTGTTATTGGGGGATAGGGCCGGTGTCTATATTGAATTTTAAGAAATGCATCCTTATTTTCATTTAATGAGGTACAGGTAAAATAACTTTTACCAACTTTTCTCTGTAATTATAGAAATAATAGTAATTTCTCAATGCCTAGTCACTTTTCATTCACACTGTAGATTAAAATCCGATCCAAACTTTCTCAATTTTTTACAAGCAATTTGGATCGAGAAATTGTAGTTATCGCAAAATCAGACGATCTGCCTGCCAGCTATAATAAGGCTAAGTTAGTAATTAAATACGGAGTAATTTGTCTAGAAGTTAAGCAATTATCTCATGTTAATTTTAATAATTATAATAAATTAACTTTTAATTTAGAACTTTTGAAAGAAAAGAATCTGACCGAAGAGGGACACGAACCCATTGCGTTGCCTGTTCCGAACCAATTTTTTTTCTTCCAAAAATTAAAAATGACTTAAATTAACACGAAGTAGCGGCCTAACCTCCTACCTCTTAACAAATTACTTGGTATCTAACTATTAACTTATCCTTTATAGCCTGATAATTCGGCAGATCGCCTAGTTTTAGTTAAAGTATCGGATTAGAAGAATTGTTTATTTATATGTTCTGTACTTATCCTGTGTTAACTGAATTATAGGTCAGGCCTACACAAAAATTGAGGTAGATCACATCGGTCTTATATAGCAAATCGGTTATTAATCTTAACATCAGTCTGGTTTATTTGGTTACAGCAACGCGAACTGCCGAGGGTAATGTCTCCCAGGTGGACTTTTATGGGAAATTAGTTCCTATTTAGATGTTACAAACGTGAAGAAAACCCGGAAAATTCCACGTGGATAGCGAACCCACGACCAGTGTTCAACGGTTTAAGAATAAGGCCTATCAGTGATAGGCATTAGTCTTAAACCGAATGGAATCGTTACAATAGTTAATTAAACTTGCCTTATATTATAATAACAAGTATAGAACGAGCGATTGTTTATTGTGACATTGTCACAATGCCGGGCTACAAGTTTTAATTATATTTTTAATTTATTTTCATTTACATGTACTTGTACATAATATATCATAATGTTTATAAATTACGTCTGAATATTTTTATTATATAAGTATTTCATTAAATACCTTTATTACAAGAAATTACATTTACATTTACTAGAAATGAAATAATGCGACTTCGGATTTGTATCAGACCTTCGTATATAGTTAATCGGAGCCTCGTGACCTCAAGGTTTCGTCTACAATTTTTTCAAATCGCAGCTCAATAAATTACATATTTTTTTTTATTGAAAATAAAAACTTCAAATTTTAAATGCTAATTGGATCAGATTGCTTGAATGGAATTGGACAATGCATCAAATGCCAAGTGCGTGCCTCCCGGGAACACTTTTTATGAGAAATTGGCATTTATATAGGTATTAGACAGGTAAAGAAAATCTGGAAAATCCCAGGCAGTCAGCCCGTTGATCAGACTTGAACCAGGGATAAACTACCAGTGTTCAGTGTATTCACTCTCCACACAAACGAAAATTTAAAATATACTTAATTTTCTAGAAGAAAACCATTAAACCCATAATTATAAAGTAATAAGCAATATCAACAATGAATATAACAAGATATTTTCAGAAATTTCTAAAAAAGAAAAAAGTGATCACTTTTAAATTACACTAATTTTTGAAAAATTAAAATTCTTAAAAGTGAATAGGCCTATTCTGTTTTTTGTACAACTGAACTTGCTGAAAGATTGATACTTCCAAACAAATCGGATTTCTCAAAACAGAAATCATTAGCTGCTTCTATCATAACTTACTAGAAAGAAAAATCGGGTTATTAACAGAGTAACGTAAACTTTATGAAAAGCTGATGCTGATAACTTACAAATAAAAAATAATTAAAATGTATTATTATGTTTCTATGGCGACAGCCTATTTACTGACATTTCTATACAATTCTGAAATAGGTAATCTCATAAGCATCATTCATTCGGTTATATATAGTAATTCTAACAATTCTAAACATTAATTATGTCTTCTAGTTTTGTTTAAACTCTATAGAAACTGTATACTTATTGAACAACTTAATTATATATTTATACTTATAATAAAGTTATCCAGATGCAGACTATTTATGCCTTCATTAAATATTTGATATGTTTTTGAAAAGAAAATGTAAATAAATTTATTTTCATTTAAAATATATACTCTCCACCTCAAATTAGTAGTGTCCTTGCCCCTGTACATCATACTTTTCCTTTAACAACAGAGTTGTGTCAGTCATCTGTCTAACACCTTCTGGGGAAAATTTTTGAAATGAAATAATGCGACTTCGGATTTGTATCAGACCTTCGTATATAGTTAATCGGAGCCTCGTGACCTCAAGGTTTCGTCTACAATTTTTTCAAATCGCAGCTCAATAAATTACATATTTTTTTTTATTGAAAATAAAAACTTCAAATTTTAAATGCTAATTGGATCAGATTGCTTGAATGGAATTGGACAATGCATCAAATGCCAAGTGCGTGCCTCCCGGGAACACTTTTTATGAGAAATTGGCATTTATATAGGTATTAGACAGGTAAAGAAAATCTGGAAAATCCCAGGCAGTCAGCCCGTTGATCAGACTTGAACCAGGGATAAACTACCAGTGTTCAGTGTATTCACTCTCCACACAAACGAAAATTTAAAATATACTTAATTTTCTAGAAGAAAACCATTAAACCCATAATTATAAAGTAATAAGCAATATCAACAATGAATATAACAAGATATTTTCAGAAATTTCTAAAAAAGAAAAAAGTGATCACTTTTAAATTACACTAATTTTTGAAAAATTAAAATTCTTAAAAGTGAATAGGCCTATTCTTTTATTATAAAATAATGATAGTATGACTAACAATATAGAAGACAAAAGATTCTTGCTTTCAAAAGAGAAAACATGGAAATCTATAAAACGTAATTGTAATGTATTGTCTAATATTTGTAATATTTGAATTTCTCTCGCTTAGGAGTGGTGTCTAGAGATTTATGTGACCAATGATTTTCAATAAACATAAACANCACTCCAATAAATAAATAGAATTGAAACGACACTTTGAAATGTTTTCCCGATGAAAATTAATAATAATAATAAGTTTCAATAAAAATAATAAAATGTAAATTGAATTTTATCATAACGAGTTTGCTTGAATTTCCTTTCTTCTGAGATCGCAGCAATGCGCGACGGGTAAGCTAGTATTTACTAAAAATAATTTATTTTTTAAAGATATCTTTATTTATACTATTGTTATTTTGTATAATATTAGGAAGGCCGAAGAAGTTATCGTGTTCTACCGTTATGGAGGTTAGATTGCAACATGTGGGCGATCTACCAAGGAAAGGTGTCTTCTGGGAGGATTTTTAGCTCCTATTTATCTTGTATGTGTTAATTAATTAATTAAAAAGCCCTTTTAATATCTGCAATTCCAGTGCGAAACTCTTTGAAACACTGAAAATGAGAAGTTTCCTTCTTACAGTTGTGCTTCAAACAGTGATGTATCCGAAACCTTTGATGATTCTATAGAGATCGCAGATAAGTTTATCCTTTCCCTGAAGTTTCAAGTTCAATTCATTCATGCAGGATGTGATGTCAATCAAAAATGACAACTTTGACAGCCAGGTAGGATCTGACAGAAGTGGATCAACTCTATCTTTAAGTGCATGACACCGAATGAAGTTCATTGCAGAAACGATTTCAGTACACAAGAAATATCTGTCTTTCCCACAGAGTGTTTGCTGATATATAATGCAGTGTATAAACAGAGCACCCTCGAGTTGAAGATCTTCCAACTTCGTCCTGATCTGCCCCACCAGACCCTTCCTCACTCCAGCCATCAACTGTAACACATCGAAGCTGATTCCACTGAGGTTAGCTTTGCAAAGTTTTCTGCACTGTCATAAAAATGTTTTCTCCAATTGTTGTTCCGTGCATTCCGCAAACGAATGCCAACCCTTTTATGATCTGAAAGTCTAAATTAACACCACAAATGAACACGAGAAGTTGTGAAGTACTCGAAAGATCAGTAGCCTCATCCATCGCCAGAGAATACTACAAGAAGTCCCTAGCTTTCTCGTGTATCTGTAGCATTATGTTCTCTCCAAGTTCTGTTTTTTGTACAACTGAACTTGCTGAAAGATTGATACTTCCAAACAAATCGGATTTCTCAAAACAGAAATCATTAGCTGCTTCTATCATAAACTCTTTGATGAAGTTGCCATCAGAAAACGGTTTTTTTCGTTCTTCCATCTTATACACTGTTTTGTAACTTATACCAGTGACAGATTTTTAGCAAACATTCTATGCTCAATGCTGCTCTATGTCAAAAAAATCTTTAATTCTAGACAGCTCACTAGATGGAAACTAATCTGTAATAAAATACATTAATTTAATGTAGTATTCTATATTTTGTAAGAATAGAAGCATAATGTCATTTCAACAAAACGTTTATTTGTACAAATTTTCTTTGTACTTCAATTTGAGCATTTTATCAGTTTATTTAAAAGTATAGCTAGGAATTTTTCGAAGGGGTGGTTCGTCCTGATATGTCGGGCCCCCGTCCCTTACTACCCGGCCGCCCCATTGTTGGCTTGACCAGATCCATAATGGGCTTGAAAAAAGAGGTCCTCTTAGTGTCCACAGGGCCGAAAACTTTATTTAAAACAACCTCTACGAACGATTGCTCGATAGTTTGTTCTTAAAATGGTGACGATCAGCGACGGCAATTTGGACTATTTCCATTTGTTGATTATTTGGCAAAAATTTAATAAATATACGAAAACGGGGACTTGATAGAAAATGGATTTGCCCTCATAACATGTACCGGTACATAACTGTTATAATTTCAATAAAACCAGCGAAATTATTTATATTTTTACGTCTATGAAAATCTATCAAACAGCTTTATATTTCTTAATCCCAGCGTAGAGAATGCTGCAACGAGATAAAGAGCGCGTCACAAATATGTGCAAGACTTGTTTTTTTAAACTTTCAAATGCACATGACCATCTCCGGATCGTCACCCAAAAAAATCACATGTTTGATTCAAGAGTCGTAAGAGACCGCCTACTTTCCATTGAAGGGTATGACATAGAATAACATTGAGTCGATGGCCGACCTATGACGATCGAACGAATTTCGTTTGACAACGCCTCTGGCCAGTTTGCTGCGTTACAGACTTGCTTGCACCGGGCATATCGGTTTGGCCTTCCGACTGCTCCGATCCAAAGCTATTTATTTATAGAGCAATTTTTCAGAGACAAATTTAACTTTTCAAGATTTATAAGTCTGAATTTAATGTAAATTTTTTATTTTTGTAATTGTGAGGAATTTTTTAGTTCTTCCTCTGGCATTTCTTGTACAGTACTTTGTTTTGGTTTGGTTCGGTAAGCTACTGCAATGCAACACGTGGCAATCTGTCAAACAGGATATTGCCGCTCTGAGGTACTTGGAAACGAATCTGAGCATGTCAAAAAACCGCGGGAATTTTTTGGGAGGTGGTCCGTATCGAATATTCGAGCCTTGTTCCTTACAACATTTAAACTCTATTTCTTAGAGTATTATCTTTTTATTCTTTCCGCTCTGTGAGCACTAAGAGGGCCTTTTTTTAGCAAGCTCATTATGGGTTCGACCAGGCCCAAAATGGGGCAACCGGATGATGAGGGACTGGATCGGGAGGATATCCAGTCGGACCATCTCCCGAAAAATTCCTGGAGATTTTTCGACCCAGTTTGGATTCGGTCCCGGGTTCCGGGTCCCCCAGAGCGGTAGGCTGCCACCTTAACCGCTCGGCCATTTAATAAATACTATTAAATATATGTAAACGTCCAATAAAAGTATTCTTCACTTTCTTTAGATATTAATAAAATTATTATAAAATAATTTTATGGTTATTTTTTTAATAATTTTATTTTTTAAATTAAGCTTATACTTTAGTTCATTTCACAACCGCTGAAGACGCTGCCATCTGTTTATCAGGTGTAAACAATTTCCAGCGTGTATGATGTGTGAGTTCGTTAATTTATTTGCATTCAATTTTTATTCTTTTTAATGGCGAAAATATTAGAAAAATTGATAAAATAGCAACTACATAATTAAATATATTTAAAATACGTAGCCGTTATTGTAGTTATATTTATTTCTTTTTTCACGTTATATTAATATAAATTTAAAGCAATTTATTTATATTTAAATATATAGACATTGGCCTAAAAGTAACTTATTAACGATACTTTTCTGTTTACTTACAGAAAGCAATTATCAGAAGATATAAATTTCGAAAAATAAAGGAAATGGCATATAAACACGTGGTCAATTTTCGTGAGAAGTTTGTTTATCCCATAAAAGAGACAGTTAATTGGTATCCAGGACATATGAGTACAGGTATATAATTTATATTATACCCAAACAATTCAAATATACTCATTTTTTTATGTATAATGGAATTTTTAATCTCTTGTTTTTTAATAAATTAGCATATTTATTATATTTTGACTTTATTGATCAGAGCTAGAACTTCTAGGCACTAAAACTCATGTAAATTATCATTTTTACAACTATTTATATGATTTTTAGTATTTGGATGTCTTAATCTTAGTTATAAGTAATATGTTTATGTAATGTCAAAACAAAAAAAAATAGAAAAATGAAAAACTGTTCTTGTAATGTATGTTATTGATATTTTGTACTTTTTATATTTAACTAGCTGCAAGGACCCGCTTCGCTGGGCAAAAAGTAATGATAGTGAAGATTAAGATAATTACATTATAGCTAATCTTACCCGTTTTCACAGAATGCAAGAATTAGGTCCCCCGTTTCCAGACTAATTAGAGAATTTTTACGTTTAGTCAAACGAACTATTTTCAACGTTTCTGGAACGTTTACAATCGTTCTATAATCGAACCAATATTCGAATTTTATGTTCGAATTTAATTCGAACAAATTCGAACAAAACATTCGAAATAGAAAGCCACTTTCAACCACTTTCAGCCTCATATCTCCCGCACCCTTATAGCTATCGAGACGCAACCACCCCTATGCACGAATGGAGACTTGGGGCTACCACCACATACAAACACTATTCACGTGCGATGTGTAGTTTTGGCGAAAAAGTGAAATATAGGGACATACATGTCCATTTTTATATATATATATATATATATATAAATATATTGTTAAAAACTAAATGTATTCATTTAATTCATTTTATATAAATTGTAATTATATGCATTGTTGGATTTATAAATGATTTTGCTGGGTTCTCTCCCAGAGTAGCAAATTTTGGAGACACTAACTTTTATCATCTCGTTAAATTGAGATATATTGGGCACATTGCTTGGTGAAGTGGCTTTAATGTGGCTGAATAAGCAAGCCAATGACAGTCTGTTTCATTTGAAACAAACTATCGTTGGTTTGCTTATCAGCTGTATTAAAGCCATGTTACCAGGCAACATGTCCATTGTAGTGTTTAAAGCAGGTTTAAATATTTTCATATTTTAACATACTATGAATTAATTAAAATTAATATTTTATTATAATCGCATTATGTATCTTATTACAAATTTCTATACTACATGTGAAAAAAATGATAAGATTGCTATTGTGTATTCAAATATAAATTCATATATGCATATTCCCAATGGAAGTGCTGTATTGTTGAATAAGGGACAGCTTCCTTGGCGAAAATATTTTAATCGTGTAAAGCAGCCAAATTACAGGCATTGGCTTATGTACTTTACAGAGCACCAACCTCACGCAGTTTAGCTCATGGATGCTAAATACCAAAATATCATATAATATTTTCAATGATTCTATCCAGAGTTGGCACAGTTTCCCTATCATCAAATGTCACTGCACGCCACTGCTTTATTATGAGAAAATGGTTAACATTGGTTGTAACATATACAGTATTAAAACTTAAAAACTTGTATGGTTTATAGAACTAATGCCTTATTTTCTTCTTCTTAGTATATGCTTTATAATAAATTATTAACAGAATAACTAAATATTTCAAATACATTGAATAAGTATTCAAGTTATAGTAGAATGATATATGGCAATTTGAATGTGCTGCAAAGTTCAACATATATTAGCCTGGACAGGAAGGCCCAAATCCTATTAGACTTGAGATTTCTAAAACCAGGGCTTTGGAGCAAGGATCCTGATTGTGGCACTTGTACTGGCTTCAGATCCAGTGCCAGCCAAGTATTTAATCTTTTTGTTCTAGATGGAATTATTCAAACAATTTTATATTAATAAACAAATAACAACTGCTAAAAAGAAGTTAAATTTAAATAAACTATTGTTCCAAAAACCAAAAATCAGCAGAAATGGTAAAACTCACATTATCAAATGTTATCCCCCATATCAAAGTGACATCATGCTTTTAACATTCTAAAGTCAAACCTCATCAATAAATGAGTCTCTGTATTTCAAATCAAAGCATTCTATCTCATGTGGTTTGGATTTAGAATGTTAAAAGCCTGAAGATGTCCATTTAATATGGAGAAAAATGTTCACTAATGTGAGTTTTACTATTTCTGCTGGTTTTTGGTCAGTAGTCCATTTTTTATTGCTAATTTATTTATTGTCTGTTTCTATTACTTTATATAAATTGGCTATGTATATACTATAAGTTATAAGTTGATAGTTACAGAGAATGAAGTAAATATTTAATAACAGTATTAAAATTCCTCAAGATGCCAGGTCACAAAATAACTTGATCTTTGTCAGGACTGGTTTTTGAATGTTAGCTGCCTGCGTGCTACAGATATTTGGCCACACCTTTCAGTGCTGATCACATGTAAATTCATAAATTAATTCAATCCACGAGAGTCTACTGGTATGTTTTACGACAGTTTCATATAGTTGACAGGGATAAAAAAAAAATCTATAATGTTATTTAAATCAAGCAGCTCCGTAGATATCAGGCACCATTGTTCAAAGTTATATTTTAGCATTACCATAAAGTAGAATTTGCAAATTATAATGAAATTAAGTTAAAGAAATTTTTCTTATGTGTATATTGTATTTATATACTAAATATGTGTATATAAAAATTAATTTAAATGTTTAAATTAATAACGTCCATGTGCATCTTTTCTTTATTTAAATTTTCTTTCGGTTCCATCAACAATTAAAACAATTGTGTAAGTATCACCTTAAGATTAATGGTACAGGAATGAAGGCCCACTTACAATGAAAATTAAGCATAAACATAAAACCTTATACTTATATCAATATTATTTAACACAACCATTTACAATGAGTTACGTAAATGTAACTTTAAACTTAATAATAAGATGCTAACAAAAATAAAGCTGGTTATTTGTATCCATAAATTGCACAACTATATCTTCAGTCATTTTGCAAACATCAGTCTATTTCATCGTCGACCACCATATTAAAATAATATTAAATTACATTTGAATTTTATTTTTTAATGTGCACTATCGACCAAACCAAGAATGTGGCCACCTGCATGCATGCATGCACTGCACACCTACCAAAACTGGCCCTTATCTTTGTATTACTGTAATGCAATTAGAATTTCTAATAGAAGAGCAAAATGCTAGGTTTTGATGATGGAACTGGCTTGTTTACTATCATATGAGTTCATAAGGATTGCATAAGAAAAGTATTCAAATACCTAGCACAAGTTCTTGGAAACTATGAGAACTTTTTGCAATAAAATAGTTCTCAATTTTTGCATTTAAATATTCCTATCTTTGAAATCACTTGGATTAATCTGGATTAGCATAGTAATAAAATGTTGTTACATATATAAAAGTGATTTTACTACTAAAAAAATATCTTGTGTAGTTTATAAATTAAAAAAATAGTAAAACCTGCTGGAAACAAACCTGCCAACCAGAAAAAAATATTTGGTATTGTGAATTTCTGGTTCAAACAGGTTTTACTGTATATAAAATAAAAATCACTGTCCAATGAATATTTATGGATTTTAATATTGGGTGTCACAATTTATCTTCAATTTTGATGACATTCTTTTGAAAAAACAGTTGTAAATTACATTGATTTATGTCCATTATTGTTCAGAAATAAAAAATATCTTAATGTTTGACTATATGTTTCATAACTCTTCCCAGACTTCTTTTATGGCTCTCGGAAAAAGATTAACAACTCTTGTTATATATAATTAATGTCAAATAAAGAGAATCATTATTATAAAATAAGAGAATCATCATTATATATATTAGCATATATATATATATATGCTAATATTTCTAAAAAACAGTTTAAATCAAATATTTACAATTTATTATCATTAAATTTATTTTTATAAAATATTTTAATATTATTTCTAGATATTTATTTTTTAAAATATTATGATATTTAAATTAATAATTTTTTCATTTGATAGGAATACGAAAAATGCAACAGAAATTGAAGAGTGTTGACTGTATTCTTGAAGTGCATGATGCTAGAATATCCTTCATTAATTTATTATATAATTAAAAAACATGCATTTATAATTTGATTTCTTAATTTAAGTATTTAAAAAATGATATAATATATGCCAGTGGTGACTAAACAGTCAAGTTTCATCTACTGATCAATCATGTCCAGTTAATCAATTGTTTTAATATATACAATTGAGCAAACACAGTATCTTTCACTGATGTAGCAGTGTTTACAGTCTGACTTATTCATGCATGGTTATGGTTGACAGGGGCTTAACAAAAGTTATTAATAAGTAACTGTTAACACTGCTCATTGTAGAAGGTCTGTTCATACAAGCATATTATACAAATGGAACATATTTTTGCTGTGAGAACTTTATTTTGTATGTTCATAATCAATGAATATTTAATACATAAAATGTGTTACAATATACTGTATTTTGAATATTAATATTAATAAATGCAATGAATTTCTTGGATTATGATATTTTGAATATCCAATGGTTTAGAAATTTTTAAAATATTCCTTAAAGCAAATGATATTTTAGAAAATTCTATACCAGTTTCTTACTATCAAACAACACCCTAGGCAGTTTTACTAGACAATTATTCTTGAGAAAGTCACATTTTGGTATATATTATATAATAAAAGAAGAGAAATCATATTTTGTTGTAGGGATTTAAATAGCACTTGTTTTACTATAATAGCAATCAAAAAGTTTGTTCTAGAACACTATAAAAATGGTGATTGTCTGAAAATATTTTTTAGAGTGACTTTGTCTTTAATTTGTACAAAAAAGTGTAAAAATTAAAAAGAAAATAGAAACTACAAGAAGAAAAACTGTTGCAATTCAGATAGTTGTTTGGTCGTATCATTGAAAAAATGGATCAATTGAATTAAGAAAAAAATATATTCCTTTAATGAGTATCAAAATCCATACATACTTGTTATTAGGGTTGAGTATACTCACAAATAATGTGCCACTCTGTTCGGATACAATCACAGAAGGAGTGAAGTTACTTTTTTTGCTGTCAGTTTGACAAACTGATAGCAATAAAAAAACTTGCAGTTAGTAGCTTCACTCCTTGTGTGATTGTATCCGAACAGAGTGCCACATTATTTGTGAATAAGTCTCAACCTTAATAAAAGAATAATTTAATATTATTAAATAAAGTTTTATTGGTATTAATATTTCTTAACTATTTAACATTCCTTTCAGTGGAAGAAATTACAATTTTCATAATTTATTGACAGCAATAAAGCCTCATATTATGATATTAAACAAAATGGATCTTTCAGAATTATCTTATAAATCACAGATTTTGGAGAAATTTAAAACTGAAAATATAAACAATGTTATTTTTACTAATTGTAAAAATCAGAATGATGAAGGAATTAAGAGAGTAAGTTTTTCTTTATTTTTATTAAACATAAAGATTTTTATATGTTTTGATTAAGGAGAGGAATTTTAGGTGCAAAAAATTGCTAAAAAGGTACTAGAAAAGGTGCATATTTATTTAATTACTTCACATACTGGAACATTTCTGAATTATTTAAACTAAAGTAGGATGAGATTTAAATTGAATATTAGTGGAATAACATTTTCATGTTCATTACTTTTAGCATATCACTAAATCTACATCAGAAACTTATTGGTATATTAAATGATATTGTTTCTTGATTGATTGCATGATAAAATTCATCTTCCTGTCTTCCAAAAAGATGCTTATATAATGAAAAGTATCTGTCTAAATCTGCTGGTATGAGAAGAGCTAATTTAGTGAGTAGTAAGTATGGGAGCTCATTTTTTGTGAAGACTTTCTCAAGATCAAAATATTTGTTCAGAGTTGCCATCAGCTTTTACAAATCTTTCCAAGTGTTCTTAACTTTATTCACAATGATTTATTACTCTTCTTCTCCTAAATCTTGCTCTTTAAGTTTAGTTACAGCTTTCATTGGGAACTTATAAGTATGAACTAAGTACAATTTTCTGTGGAGGTCACTACTAGCTGACAGTTCCTCTACATTTGAAATGGCTTTAGAATCCTCACTTAAACCGTTCAGGAAACTTGAAGTTTGATCAAAGTTTTCACAGGGAAAGGCTATAGAAATAATCCATGATCCCCATGTCACTACTGGTGTTGGAGGCAATGAAAGATTGGTGAATTCTTGGTACATCTGTATCCATGAAGGATACTTTAGTAAGATCTTGAAATCTGTTAGATATTAATTTGTGAGAAAAAATTCATTTCTAATTCTCACAGATTCTGTGAATTGCATGAACTGTACAAGTGATATGTTTCAAATTCTGATACAAGACCTTGAGCTCTGAAAATGCAAGAAGCATGAAACTTGCCTCATGTCTTACAAGTCACACTTTGTCATAAGCAATAGTTGCACAGACTTACCATAATACTATTGAAAACCTGCATGACTATTGTAAAATTAGTTTTCTTAAGAAAGTAGTGAAGTTTTAAACATTAGTCTGACTTTATTTCTATTGAGTGATGCAACTAGAATGTTAAGAACAAACTTGTTTTCTTCATTTATTGTTTTGTTTAGCATTATATATATATATATATGGAAATTCCCTATAATTTTTCTCTGATTTTCGTGATTGTTGAATTATACAATGGATAGATTCATTGCATTAATAAATAAAATACAGAACGGGAATTGGTAATTTATGGTTTAGCCTAGTGGCAAACCATAAATTACAATTCAGAGACAAGTAAATTCGACTTACATCGTTTTTCGACTTAAGTCATTCTTCTGGAACCAATTACTGACGTAAGGCGAGGTATACCTGTATATTATAGTAGTAATATTGACATAAAACTGAGATTGGGTTGTCTGTTTAATGAATTCATTAAAAATGATTCATTAATGAATGATTGTTTGGAGTTGTTTCAATAATTAAATTAATATTTTAATAATTAATTTAATTAATTAATAAAAATTAAATTTATCAGAGATATCTACCTCTAGGCCAAATTACTTGACATTTAAGTAGTAGTTAGTTGCATTAATATAGCATGGCAACTGTTTGGCATGGCAGGTCATAACTTGGATGACATTTAACATCATTAAACAAATTGGTGATAAAATTTTGTGGAACAATTAACTCCATACACCTTTTCTTTTAGCCCCTTTAAAACTAGAAAAATACCAACTAATATTTAAGACAATACAGTATATTTCAAAAGCAGGTAAATTTAATTTGTTTCCAAATAAATTCTTTAAGAATATGTTTCTAATATATAGGTATTTGTGTTTATTAAGTTTATCTTTCTTTCAAATGAGATCATTATTCATTCATTAATACAACATATACAGGGCCTTCCAAAAAATGCTGCCATTTTAAATTATTTCAGTTACGTTAATAATTATCTGAGAACATTGTAATGTATGTTAAAACTAGTGATGGGATGATACCAGAATTTCTTCTAATTCTGATTCTGATAAAATTCCTAACTTCAATTCTGATTCTGATAAAATTCCCAACTCCAATTCTGATTCTGATAAAATTCCCAACTCCAATTCTGATTCTTTTGAATACAGTACTTTCTAAATATTATTTTAGTTTAGAAAAATTAATGATTCACATTACGAGCATGGTACATTCATTAATTAGTGGTAATAAATATCAAGATGAAGAATGGAAAATGATTGGAAAATCTGTAATCAATCTTTTGAAAGAAATGTAAAAATTCTCCTTTTATATGTGGATACATATGCTTTCGTTGTGTATTACAAAATTCATTTTGAGTTATAAGCAATTTAAAAATATAATGCTTTCTGTTTAACAAAACACCAACATGTATAACAATATTTGTTGATAATTGCATGTTAGTTTGATATTCGTTACTTATTATCTGCAATTTTATTAATTTGTTACTTGGATTTTGAGTCTTTTTTGTAACAATACATGGCTTAACTTTATATGTTTGCTTCAGGCTGGTGATAACTTCCACAGTTAGCTAAAATTTGCATGTTAAAGCATTTTTATGCACAAGAACGTTAAAATATTGATAACATTGTTCTTAGAACATTTTTGAATATAAAATGTTTTAAATGTTTAAAATTCCAGATAGTAAGTAACAAATATCAAACTAATGTGCATTATTAACAAATATTTTCATAAGTAAGTTGGCGTTTCACTAAGAAGGAAGTGATGTCACATTTTTAAAATAGCTTATAACTCAAAATGAATGCTTCAACTAAAAATATGGCTCTAGTGTTTTTGACTTAAAATTAACCTCTCTACAATCCCTCAAATTTTTACATGCCTTCATGTTACACCCTGTATAAGCTTATACAGATACAGAATACAGATTGCCAGTCAAGTCAACCAGATGACAAAGCTAAAGTCACCCTATCTTTCATAAAATGGACAGTTAGAGCATGGTTACAGTTTGCTGTGACAGACATCATATCGTGTATGGGGGTATCGCATACTCTCTGCTTTGTCGACATGAAAGTTTCCAATAAACTAATATTTAATTATTACTTAATTGTATTGTAGAGAAATAGATGAAATATCAATTTTTCTTTCCATTCTGACTTACAGAGGGTAGATAACTTCAAAATTCTAAAACATTATATCAATAATGAAATAAAAATTAAAGTTAAAAAAAAGGTTAAAGCAAACCCAATTGCAGAGAATACACTTTATTACTTTGTTAAATTCCCTAAATGCATTTTGCCAAAAAAGTAGGCCTCCTCTTTCAGTAGGGTTATCAGTATACAGTTTAAAATTCCAACAATATTCCATTATTAGTTTCCATTATGAATTTCCACCTATATATCTGAGAAAAGTCTCCCAGCATGCAGCTATCAACACACCCGTATTTAAATTAATTGTATTGTTTTGCATAATTATGGCAAAATGTTCTTTAACTTTTTTTACATTATTTTTTTTCCAATTTTTACATTATTAATATTAATATCACAATTATTAATACTACAATGATGAAAGATACTTGCATACTTCTCAGATTATAATTAACATAATTACAGTAATTTAAAATGATAGCTTTCATTTTAGAAGGCCCTTTACGAAAGTATTTTTTAACTTCCCAACTCCAATTCTGATTCTGATAAAATTCCCAACTCCAATTCTGATTCTTTTGAATACAGTACTTTCTAAATATTATTTTAGTTTAGAAAAATTAATGATTTACATTACGAGCATGGTACATTCATTAATTAGTGGTAATAAATATCAAGATGAAGAATGGAAAATGATTGGAAAATCTGTAATCAATCTTTTGAAAGAAATGTAAAAATTCTCCTTTTATATGTGGATACATATGCTTTCGTTGTGTATTACAAAATTCATTTTGAGTTATAAGCAATTTAAAAATATAATGCTTTCTGTTTAACAAAACACCAACATGTATAACAATATTTGTTGATAATTGCATGTTAGTTTGATATTCGTTACTTATTATCTGCAATTTTATTAATTTGTTACTTGGATTTTGAGTCTTTTTTGTAACAATACATGGCTTAACTTTGTAAGTATGCGTGAGGCTGGTGGTAAGTTCTTCGAAACTCCTTTTTCTATGTGAAGTGTTTTGCATTTGTCTGTCCTTGGAGTATGAATGTGTGATTTTTAAGAGTTGATGAAGTTGTTTTTGTATGGATGCATAACGTTTTATTTCGTCCATATACAGGAGATGTAACAGTGTAAACTATGTTGTTTTTTCATGTCTAATATTGTAACCATATTGCATGTTTTTTTAGCATGTTAGATAATGGGTTCAGGGCTAATCAGAACCAGAGAAGACTCAAGGAATCTCCTTGAAAAATTCCTCGCCTAATGAATATTCTGTTTGTATGGAAGTTTTATGAATCCTGAGATGTAGTGTTGTTCTCCAGTGCTGCATAGTGTTTTGGAAGAATGCAATGAATGATGGATGTATTTTGTACATGTGTAGAATATGTAGCAGCCAACTGTGTGGAACACTGTCAAATGCTTTTCTGTAGTCTATATATGACATGTGTATGTTTCTGTGTTATTTGTGTGCTTGCTGTAAAATGACTGAATCTATGAGTAACTGTTCTTTGCATCCNACGGTCGGACGTTTTCTAACCGGATCGGACAAGTTGTCTTGAGGAACGGACGGCGGCGATGAGGATCGGCACGGGGTTTCCCCGATCATGAACGGTGATGATGGACCGTGTTCACGGACAGCGACGACGGACCTCCTTTTCTCGTCATCACCCCTCTTTTATCCCTTTCGTCACGTTACTGGGTTTCACCAATCGCCGATTTTTAGGATAAGTTCCTCGTGAATCATTTTTCGGTTTCCCGAGAGATAGGAAACGGCTCCGTGGGAAGGAAATGTATATATCCTTTTTCGTAAAATTTCGAAAAATGAAGTTTTCTTTGTTTAACTTTAATAAAGATATTTAATTTAATTGGAGCTCCTTTATTGAATTTTATTTTATTCGGTCCGACCCTCACATTAGTAATATCAAAAATTTTAAACAGACATTCACAGAGCATAATTTTAAATTACCATTTAGATTGGACAAAAATATTAGCAACAAATAAGTTGTTGGATTGATATAATGATGAATGTATTATACAGTATATGCTTTTATCCTATTTGCTCTCTGTCTTTTTCTGAATATAATTTGTAAATCATTGTTTTAATGTTAAATGATAAATTAAAAAATTATTGTAAAATTTATTTTTACATTTTAATTTAAATTGCTCTTTTTGAGAATTATAAAATTAGTTTTCTTTTTATATGCTCAAACTATATTAATAATTTATAATTGTAAATCATTATTCTAAATCAAAATGCAATGTATTCTTCTAGAATTTTTTACTTTATATTGTTTCAGTTATTCTTCTTTAATGAAATAATAATGAATTTTAAAACTCGTTTCTTAAAAATTTAAATTAGTCGATTCTTCAAACAATTGAATAATTATTAATTTTTATTTATCAGAAAAGTAATTATACAATAATGATTATTGGAATTCCAAATGTTGGTAAATCTTCAGTAATAAATGCTCTCAGAAACAGATATTTACATAAAGGTAATGGTATACCATATTATGATTTAAATCATTATTTAAATGATAATCATATAAAAGATTTATTTTTTAAGACAAAGCAACAGCTGTTGGATCCATGCCTGGAATCACACGTTCAGTCTTGGAGAAGATAAAAGTAAATATAAATAGTACAGAATCAATTAGTTTATATATTTTTCAAATTTAAAAAAAAATATTACTACGTCATTATTTAATCTTAAAATTTTATATGTAAGGACTATAGTGATAGAAGTCTGTAAAATTCCAAAAATTTTAATTATTTTGTTTGTTGCCAAAGCAACAATTTCAAATAATTAGAATAAGAATTTCATTATCAGTTTTATTAAAGTAACTGTGCTATTGCTTTAAACATTGAATGAAATAGACTGTGAAAAAACAATTGTTGACAAATGGCTGTGAAATCCAGAAAAAACCAAGACATTTCATAGCAAAAGAGCTAAAAGTTTCCCAAAATACAGTGGATGGAATGTTAAATCGGTATCATAAGACATTGTTCATTTCTTGAAAGCCAGATTCCAGTAGAAAATAATTACAGCTCACAACTCCACCAGAAAAATAATTGGTCATTTCCAAAAATTGCAGTATGTAAGTGAGAGTTATTGCAAAAAAATGCAAAATTAATCAAACAATGGTTCAAAGGGCTAAGCAGTGTAAAAGTATGAGATCATATAAAAAACAAAAAATACCTACTAGAGTGACTGAAAAACAAAGAAAGGTAAGTAAAACTAGAGCTCGAAAATTGTATTCTTTAATTGCAAGAATAAAGCTTGCTTGGTTTTAGACAGTAAAACATACATGAAGTCTGACCTCTCAACACTTCCAGTCTCATGCTATCATACAATGCTTGAAGGAGAAGTTCTTCCAGAATCTCAATCATCAATCAGTGTTGAAAAGTTTGACTCAAAATATCATGTATGGCAAGCAATTTGCCAGTGTGGATTGAAAAGTTGTCATTTGTGACAAAAGGAAAATATTTGTGTTGAAATTTAAAAAACATCTTCCTTTTCTAAGAAATGGTGGCCAGATTTGGCTACAATACACAGTCCGAACCAATAGAAAGATTTTTATCTCTTGTAAAAATAAATAAAAAAAAGCAGAACAAACAGCAAAATATGTAAAGATTTTTCTCTTAAGTGGAAAAGAGCAGTCGCAATGATTGAAGAAAATACTGTCAAAAATCTTATAAGAGCATTTGAAACAAACTTTGAAAGGAATGGAATAAAATTTAAATGTTATAATTATTTAACTCTTAAATGTATTTTAAAAAAAACAAACTTTTAAATAAGAGTAAATGAAAGTTATTACTGTTTGAATTTTACAGATTTCTATTGTTACAATCCTTATTTAAAAAATAACAGTAATGATAACTTATTCCATGTTTATTTTAAAAATAATAATAATATAAACAAAACAAAAATCCAAAATTTAGATCATTATCATTTCAACTGATATTAGGGGAAACCCTAAGTTTCATAAATAAGGGTAAACCCTAATAATAAAATTATCTTTTATTTTCATACAGGTTAATATAACTGTATTATAAAATAATTATCACTCTATGATGTTAATGAATTTAAAGAAATAGGCATACATTTAAAATAATGTTTTGCTGTAAATTTATTTATACTTTAGAATAAAGTCAATTTTCTGTAATAATTTTGAAATAACATTTTATGAATCTATTCAAAATATATGGAATACTTATTAACAAAGCATAAATTAAAATTAACAGGTTGTTAATTTGATAAATGTGTGTTATAATATGGTAAAAGAGAACTGTTGATGATAGATTTGTGTGTATAAACATCTTAATAATTTACTACTAGTTAAGCTAAGCTTGTCATGAAAGTTCAATTAATATAGTTTCCTTTATCATCTTTAACAAATTCTAATTTTAACATTTTGATTAAAAGAAATTTAGTAAAGAGTTTAATGACCTAAATTGAAACCGAATCAAACTATAGCAATTATGTAAAAATATCAAAGATGTGTAATATAATATATTAATATTAATTTAACAAAGATTAATACTACAATGATGAAAGATACTTGCATACTTCTCAGATTATAATTAACATAATTACAGTAATTTAAAATGATAGCTTTCATTTTAGAAGGCCCTTTACGAAAGTATTTTTTAACTTCCCAACTCCAATTCTGATTCTGATAAAATTCCCAACTCCAATTCTGATTCTTTTGAATACAGTACTTTCTAAATATTATTTTAGTTTAGAAAAATTAATGATTTACATTACGAGCATGGTACATTCATTAATTAGTGGTAATAAATATCAAGATGAAGAATGGAAAATGATTGGAAAATCTGTAATCAATCTTTTGAAAGAAATGTAAAAATTCTCCTTTTATATGTGGATACATATGCTTTCGTTGTGTATTACAAAATTCATTTTGAGTTATAAGCAATTTAAAAATATAATGCTTTCTGTTTAACAAAACACCAACATGTATAACAATATTTGTTGATAATTGCATGTTAGTTTGATATTCGTTACTTATNGTTAACATAATATTAAAAAGTATTTTAATTAAAATTTAACAATCGGCAACCCATTAAAAACATAATTTAATTAAAATCATTTTAAGAAAAAATAAATATTTACATTAATTTTTTAAATTATTTCAAGATGATGATGATGATGATAATGATATTATTTTAATAGAAATTTAATTTTCAAATTCCATTACATGAAATAATCATCATTAATAATCTTTTATACTTTACAATAAATGCCATCAGAATTTAATTCAATCATAATCTTTAATGGCATTTGTTAATAATTTTAGAGAAATCTATTAATTTTTATTATTGTTGTTAATTGGAATACACAAATTATCATTAAAACTGTATTTCAAAGAAAATGTGGGGTATTCCCTTGAACTCCATAGTTTTAAACTGTTCTGTAAAATTTATTTGTTCAGATATGTGAACGAAGTTTGTCAGAGAATGGTGATCAATACTTCAAGTTTCATATACATACTCGTATGCTTGAAAGGACAGCTACTGCTGTATAGACTTTACTGCCACATCACTTAGATTGCTGATTAACAAGGTCCCATTTCTTGGTTTGCCAATCACCTGACATCACCCACTTTGCATTTTTTCTTTGTGGGTATGTCAAGGATTGTATTATACACCAAAAGTACTAGACACAAGAATTATAGATGCATAGTGTGACTTCTAACATGCTCAATCAGATGTGGGCCAAAATCAAGTAACAACTGAATTTCATACATTCCTGATATGAAAGTGTCATATCAGGAATGTGGAAATGTACCGATTTAATATAGTAAGTAACCTTTTCAGATTCACTTACTATTCCCATTGTCTATAGTACTGTACTAACATTTCTCTTCCCAATATTAATTCAGAAAATAGAGAAATTTGAAGGAAACACCCTGTATATTTTATAAATTTTATTTACAATAAAAATAAGCACATCATTTATATTTTTAACTCACTGATTATATTCATGTAATTAAATTATAGTAGGAAACTTTTTGATTGTGACAAAGACAATATTAATAAATGATAATTGTTTAATCTTCAAAATGAGTTGCCATAAAAAAACCCAAAATATAGTCATAATCATGTTTTAGAAACATCTTTATTAATGATTGTTTAAACCTAGTTGGATATTAAAATGGATGTTAAAATGTGTCATTTTGTAATTATTTAACTCAATTAAATAGATCTTTTTAAGCTTTCTTTTCATGCTCTTAGTCTTAATATGTGGCCATTAATAATTGATAATGATTGCTTGTTATCACTCTAAACACTGTCTTAAAGCATTGGTTAAATCATTATTTACTCACAATACAATAGTTTAAATTGATGTCAAAGTTGGTAACTGCCAAAGAACATTTATTAATTAATATGTAATTCATCCAATCTTACATTTAGTTAAAAGTTATATATTTTTAAATTGTTTTAACGTGCCCTTTTTTAATATTAAAGTCACAATTTTGTCTAATTGTAATCTGATTTACTTACTCCACTTCATGTTATCACTTAATGTAATCACTTTTGGACTTACCTAAAGAAATCTACCATATAAAGTTGTTCTAACCATTGTATTTCAAATTTTTTTTTTATATTATTGTTATTATTTCCTTCTATAACAGTGGTTGCCAACCTGTGGACTGTAGACCATTGATGGTCCATGAGAAATTTGGACATTCATTAATGCAAGATTATGCGAAGTATTACAAAAGAAATACAAAATGCTTTGTTGTTTTTTCTCACTCATTGGGATTTTTTATACATTACAAATTTATCGGGTTTTGTGAGGTTTGTTTAAGCTAAACAATCACTGGATTACATCAGGCTACTTTTCCGTGACTATATTTTAATTAATTACTAAATAATTTGTTGATAGAGGCAGGCATTAGGTGCCATCTCTTATTAATTTAATTATAATTATTAAATTTAATAAAAGAGGATATCTAATGCCTCTCTCTAGTGACAAATTATTTAGTAATTAATTAAAACATAATTGCAGAAAAGTAGCCCAATGTAATCTGGTGGTTGTTTGGGGATTTTTATTCGCATCTAAAACTGAACACAAAATGACTGTTATCAAAAAATAATAATGTGGATAAATCAATAAATAATCAACAATGTTGTGATTGCAATTGTCATCTTTGGTGGAAAAGTGCCAAGAATCCATAAACTTATTCAAACAAGCTGAAACAAACTTCACACTAATTTATTATAATTAAACAAGTGAATTTCATATTAATGAAGTAAATAAGTAAAATGGAACTTTTATGATCACTATTCTATAAATGTTTGTATTATTTTAAAAAATTCGTGATATTAGTCTGAGAGATTCAAAATTGTGAGTTTAGTGGTCTGTGAGGTCAGAAAGATTGGTGACCACTGTTCTATAAGATCATTAGAACATTCTAAAATATACAAGTCACACAAATCTTAAATGTAAAACTGCAATTTTATAAAATTTATTGCACTTTACCAAATTTTAAATTTAATCACAAAGAATTTATACTTATAGTTGTAAAAATGGTTATTGTTTAATCGGGGAAAAGTTTTCATTTCTAATAGAGATGTCTGTTAAGAAAATTTATTTCTTATAATTATTAATTTTATTTTTCAGATACAATTAAAGAAGGATTAATTGATACTGACATTCTAGCCGATTATTTATTATTTATTTTAAATAAGCACAGAAACTTTAGGTAAGCACCATTGTTATAAATAATCAAATATGCTAATCTTTAAGCATAAATTAGCATTTAAATAATGCAATATTTAGTAAAATATAGAAATAATTTGGTTAGTAAGAAATTCCTTAGAGTTGAAAATTTTGTTATTTATATATATGTTACAGTCAAAACCCGTTTTTAGTTAGAACGCGTTTTGTCTAGTTAAAACTAGTTTATACTGAATGTCTTTGTTAAAACCCGTTTTGTCTAGTTAAAAGTAGTTTTAACTCAAATTCATTTTTGACTAGCAGTAAATTTTAGTTTTAACTAAACTCTAACAAACTCTAAACTACATGTTTTGATTTTAGATACAACTAGTTTTAGCTAAAATTAGTTTTAACTAATGTTAAAACTAATTTTAGCTACATAAATATGTTTGGGAGAAATAAAGTTATGTATAGTGATTTGGCGGAATATGCCTAACATTTTGCTTATGAAGGAAATTACAGCGCTAATTTGGGTTTAGGAGCCCTTTAATGAAAATATCATATGCTGGAGTTTGTTTTTCAAATAAAAGTTTGGAGTTTATTTTAAAAAAATTGTATACTGTGTTTGCAATGACGACTTTTTCACTGTCTGGCATTTTAGGCATCTCACCTCAAGTATCTGGGTGAGATGCCAAATGCCATTAGGGTAAGATAACAAATATAATTGCTTAAAATTAATTTTTGAATTTCTTAACCAAATTTAATTTATTGCATATGTAGTACAAAGTACTTCATAGTAAGTATAACAGCACAGTATAAGTATTGTTAAGTTTCCGCCCGTTCTAACGTGTTCTATAGCTAGCTGAAAGCTTTTTTCAGTCCAAAAACTTTTTTGAGAAGTCCTTATATAATTTCTATGCATATCCTGCAATAAAACGAGAAAACAAAAGTTTATTAAAAATAGGCATATTGGAAATCAATTAACAAAAAATAGGCACGTTACCCCAAGAAAAATGTGGCATATTTTCCATTTGTTGGGGTAAGATGCCTAGTAGAGTCACGTGCTCCAGCATGTCCGATCGGGATCGGCGGTAGCTGACAATGGAAACTTTAGAACCTTAACTACATCACACATTAATTGTTTTTAGCAATTTTTAATAAATTCCATTTTAACTTTTAGTTTAAAATTACTCTAGAAACATTTCACAACAAAAACTTCGTTCTTATCTAGCTTTTATTCTTCTCGGATGTAGAAAATGAAGTAACGGTAGCCAACTACAGCTTTCCGCACTCAATATTGGCCCAACGATTCATCGTACAAATACATGACAATATGTGACGGCACCATTTGAAAATATCAAAAATTATGCATCTTTCCCGCATACCATCTTACCCCGAAACACTTTATACGTTGCAGTGAAAACCAGTTTTAGTTAGGATGCGTTTTAACTAGTTAAAACTAGTTTATACTAGATGTCTTTGTTAAAATCCGTTTTGTCTAGTTAAAACTAAAATTTACTGCTAGTAAAAAATGAATTTGAGTTAAAACTAGTTTTAACTAGACAAAACAGGTTTTAGCAAAGACATTCAGTATAAACTAGTTTCAACTAGTTAAAACGCGTTCTAACTAAAAACGGGTTTTGACTGTAACATATATAATCATTAAATCTAAAATGATTAGGTCTCTTATTTTTATACAGTCAAACCTCAGGTTACAAACTCCTGTTTACAAACAAAATTTTGAACACCATAATTTACAAATGAACTAACTACTTGGTAGAGCCAGCCACTTCCTATACTCCCTATGTTAAAGAAAATCGATGGTCCAACCAATCAACAACAGGACTACCAATTTAGAAGTTAGTGGTGCAGAGATCATCTTGTGTCATTAGAAATCATGACATGAACCATCAATGACATAGTTATTCAAATTGTATTTCAATGGTGCATGCGAGTAAGATACTACTACCATTTTTCAGTACACTTCGCAATTGAATTTAAATCAAACTAAATAAAAACTGCATTAATTGACATTTGCATAATATAAATGACATCCATATCCATTTTTAAAGATGCTTAACACAAATTAAATAAAGTTTTTTTATTAATAAATATTATATATCATAACATTAATACCTAATATAATATTTATTAACACTAGGTAGCCAGTTAATTAAAACTAAAAATAATAAAATAATACTCATTTTGATGTTAAAACTCTGGTTTTTACACTGAAACTGAAACTTAAATTATAATTGAAATCAAATCAATTGAAACATTATTCACACTTTACAAAATGTTGTGTACAAATGCAAGTACTTATTTTTATGAATCAAATACAGCTAAACAGGTATTAAAAAAAAAAAATGTTTTATTTTGGGAGTTAGGAACAGATTAATCCAGTTTATATTGTTTCTTACGGGAAAATGTGTTTTTGGTTTGAGAACAACTTTTAAGAATGAATTAAGTTTGTAAACTGAGGTTTGACTGTATTCATATGAGATTTGCTTTGCTTTGCTTTGCTTTATCTACTTTCTTTTCCTGTAAGTTAACACAATGAGAAATTATCCAAATTGGTAATAACAATAATTGTAATTTTTCATTTGTATGGAATGTCTCAGTTTACTTTAAACACAGATAATCTATGTGTTACATGCAGGAAATTACTGTAATTTTTGATTTTCAAATGATAAAATGTTTTTGAAAAATTTCACAAATTCATAATTGTTACTTTGACTTAGGATTCAATTACATTGGGCATGTTTACTAGCTACTTTCTAGAATTCAAACTGACAAAAGTCTGAACAAGTTTACACACACATAATGAGTACTAATTACTCTAGGCTAGTAAATTCACTTATTACTCAGTAGTGGCAAGATACTTAGTGCTGCAATGGTGCCACTGGTGATGTGATTCTAATAAGCATGGCAATTCTTAGCTCATTTAATTGTCATGATGATAGCAGAAAATTAATCCAAAAGTAGTGACATTTTTAACAAAAATAATTATTTTATATACATTAAGGATATGCCATATTTCTCTCATTTTGATCTCCAATCTTTCACCCATACTCTATTTCCTCATAGTTGTTTGTTCTGAAAAAAAAAGTTATAATTTCTGTTGAAGCTACTCCTGTAGAAATGTATTCACTGTGTTACTCTCCACTACACATGGTTACACAGACCAAGTTTCCTAGTAAGAGAGTAAACTTTCAAGCAGTTAGAGACAAGAGTAGCCCAGTCTACAAATGCTCGGTGATTTATATGAGTAAGTACAAGTTTAATAGCAGCAAGTGTATTCATCAGTGAACAACTACTGAACTCATCAAACATAATTGAGTCTTTTGTCATTATATTAATTTTCCTGCTTTTCTTCTAATTAAAAAATTAATTACCTGTTTAGGGAAAAACAATTAATTTTGCTATTAAATGTATTAAAATATTGTAAATTATTACTTTATTTCTTTTTATTTAATTAGTCAAGTTACAGTAGGATGAATTCAGCATTATAATTTAATAAGTTGGGTGTAATTATTAGATATTTACAGTCTTCATATTATAAAGTGGGATAATGCATATAAACATTCAATTCATAATCTGATTTTTTAAATAAAGCAAAACAAACTACCAGTTTATTGGGCTATATTAAGGCTAATTTTAATAATTAATTATAAAACAGTTTGACTAGAGGTAAGTGGTTAGGCTGCAATCTCTTGATAAATTTTATAATTAATATTTAATTTTAATTTAGAAACTTCTGGGAGAAAAACATAAGTCTGGAGTTGGACAAACCTATAACTCCTGCATACCATACAGATGTATTGCCAGTTACACTACCTGGATGCCTGTTCAACCTTTACCTCCAGAACAATTAATAATTAAGATATAACCATACTGGTCACTCATAGCTAGGGACTTCCCAATACCACGAAAGTATCAATACCAGTATTGATACTTTAAAAGTAGTAATACCAGCCAGTATTGGCATTGGATATCGAAACTGGAAATCTTGCCAGCTATTGCTGTCTATTCTATAATGTGATTTTGAAACTTTTAATTTTATCATAACTAACTAGAATAAAGTATGTTATATATTATTAACAAATTGTTAAAACTAATTTCTAATATAATATTAGTAACATTTAATTTATATCAGTTGATTTGAGTTTTTGAAGAGTTATTTATAAATTTATTATAAATAATATAATAATCTGAACTCTAAGCAAACTGTATATTTATATTCTGAAAATATAATTTGATGTAACAAATGTATAGTAAATATTAATGACCAAAAATCAATAAAAGTTTAACTTAAACAAAAATAGTGTAAATATATATATTTACAATTAGCCGTATTATAGCCCGATATTTAGGCGATCGTTTGGTGATGTAAAATAGTGTAAGATTTTGTTTCAGTTTTGGCTGAAACTGATGTTAAAATCCAAATTCGGTTAGATCTTACCTGTCTGTAAAAAAGTAACAATACCAGATCCGATACCCAAGAAAAGTATTGGCAGAATCGAGACATCCATATTCCCAGCACTGAATGAGGACTGGCCTTTACTTCTGCATGATGTACTGTATATATATTGATAAATTTAATAATTATAAATTAATATTTAATATACATGTGTAACATCTGCATCCACTCTAGGCCATTTCTTTTCTTCCAGAACTTTTGATGAATTTAATAATTAATATTTAATTTTAATTTGGAGAGATGGCAGCCTGGCCACTTACCTGTAGCCAAATTATTTTATAATTAATTATTAAAATTGGCCTTAATATACAGTTGACCCCCTATAACACTGTTGATAATTCCATTTTATATGAATTCCATGTTGTATGAGTCACTTAGATTTTACAAATACGTGTGCCAGGCTGTGAACGGCTCACGTATTTGTAAAATCTAAGTGACTCATACAACATGGAATTCATATAAAACGGAATTATCAACAGTGTTATTTAGGGGGTCAACTGTAGTTTGTTTGTTTGGCTTGTGGGATAATTAGTTATAAAAACTAGTTCTATTATTTTCAATTAAAAAATTTCAGCTCAAATCTTTGTAATCAAACTAATTATTTTAATGTTGCAATAATTAATCAGCTCGTAAATAAATATATATGTATATATATATATATACACACACACACACACACACACACAGGTGTATATAAATGAATAGCTCAGTTTTAAAAATTAATAATAAATCCATTTATTACCTTATATGGCACACCTTACAGCATAAGCAATGGCAACTGTCCAAGATTTTTATGCATTAATCACAATCCTTCAATATGTGCACCCATGGTCACACAACACACATCTACACGGTAATCAAGTCCTCCATGATAGTCTGCAGTGCATGCTTTATCTGATCACACAGTTCCTCAAGGGTCACGGGCATTGACGGTACATAAACCCTCAGTCTTTAACAAACCCCCACAAAAAGAAATCATAGGGTGTTAAATCTGGCAAACAGGGTGGCCAGGGGAGCAGGTTGCACCACGTCCAATCCAGCGTTAGTGAAGAATATGATTAAGAAGCTTGCATACATTCCTGTGAACTTGGACAGTTGCCACTGCTTATACTGTAAGGTTTGCCCATATAAGGTAATAAATAGATTTATTATTAATTTTTAAAACCACACCATTCATCTATAAACACCCTGTATGTGTGTATATATATATTTGAAGATACAAAATTGTCTTTGACTTCCATCATTTGCACTTACAAGTGATAATTCAAAAACAGGTCCCACTTGTGGAGAAAAACTTCATTATATTCCTTCATTGCCCAAGGATATTTTTATTTGCAGATACAGAGACAACCTTTTGAGGCTGTGCAAGTGATGATTTGTAAATAATGAAGATAAAGACAATTTTATATCTTCAGTATATGTATTTTTTGTATTTTAATGTAAATTACATTGGCCAAGTTTAATTTTAACCAGCTCAGTTTATATACGTAACAATTTCCTTTATCATGTTTTAAAAATGATACAAATGGAAGTTTCAAATTAACTGAAAATCTAATTTTAATTTACTTCGTAAAAAAGCATATTAGTAATAAAATTATTACTGCTAATGCTCTTTTCTTGTCAATTTTATAAAGATGTATCATTCACAGTGTGCAATATTTTAAAAAATATTTCATGCTGTATTTTTCTCTGTATTGACATCGTGCAATATTTTTAAAAATATTGCATGCATGACACAAGATTTTGTGTTTTCATAATTGTGTACACTCACAGATATAAAGATATGAAAGATTTGATTATTAAATGCATTGTCTTCTAGGATAGAAAATAAAATTTTATAACAATTTGTCTAATTAACAAACTAACTACACAAAAGTTTATTCAATTTTATATTAGAATTAAACAGATCAAATTTACATTGTGCTGGATCCAGTTGGATTGCTGGATGAGGGATCCAGCAATTGCAATCCCTAGTCATTACATTTTTCAGCCTGTTGGATCCAGCACCAGGTGCTGGATCCAATGCTGTGGATCCACAAATACTCAATTAACTTTCTAAATAATGGTGCAAAAGTCTACTTTGTTGGCCTTGCTGCTTTGCTACGTGCGCTATCGCTCGGCGGCAAGAGCAACATTGCTGTTCAGTGTGGCACTTGCTACACCCCCTCTCTACACCGCACCGCCCGCCCTTTTACCTCTGCTGATCTAATTGCCAGTTGACTTTCTGCTCTCGCTAAATAAAGTGTCTTTGCACTAAATAAAATAAGTAACTCCTATCCTAGTCCTGGTGTATAATTCTAATTTACGGTTGGTTGTGACGTCAATGAAACTAAAAAGCCAGGATACAATCTTGAGTGCCAACCTTTCCGAGGCACTCCACATAAGAATCGGAGAAAGGCGTCTTACCGAGGTCACAGGGATGCTGATTTACATACAGAACCCGAAGAAGTATGACCAAAAAGTTAGAAAGCTTTATCTTTCACATGCTGAAAAAAAATGTAATGTGCCAGGAGATGAAAAATATGCTGAATCGTGTAAATACATATGTAGTGGAACCAGCAGCAATGGCAGAGGATATTACAGAGGTGAAAAATGATCCAGATAACCCGGATTTCCTGAATTTCACATTGGAACAAGAATTAGAGATCCAACTAAAGCATGAGAAAGAAAACTTCATGAAATGGAAAGAAACTAGTACTGAGAAGGATTATGATAAGTTGTTAAAAAAGGAAATGATTGTTAATGAAAGTGAGGGAGTCAGAGGTGAAAATTTATCTTTGATTTATCATTATTTGATGACACTGAAACCATCTAGCATAGAGGCAGAAAAGGCCTTATATAAGGCAGGATATATATGCAGTTCATTAAGTAGTAGATTGGAGACAACACCATCAATACCATTCATTTCTTGAGATCCTACTTTTAGAAAAGTCAAAAAAATAACAGAAGTGTTTGATTTAATTTTATTTAATCCTTTAAAATACTTTATTCAAGACAAGACTAATATTTTATAACTTCTACTCTAATTTTATTAAGTAAGAGTTTTTAACTTTTATTTTATAAGTGGTTAGTGGGCTAGGCTAGGCAATTTTATTGTGAAAATTAGTGAGAAACTGAGACTACCTATATAGTTAAATAGTTAATTAAATTAATGAATATCAGTATCTTAGATATATGATATGAATGTACGTGATTCATGGTTGTGATAATAATAACTAACTACTAGACTACTTACTTACTACTTTATTAACACTAATAATTAAATTACTTATAAATAACTATAGACTGATATGTAGAGCCTATATAAGAAAACTGGTAAGACTGATAGCCACTTAGCCACTGATTATCCGTCCTTACGTTATTATAATATATTAATATAAATTAATTAGTAGAATTACCTTTGCTATTATTTAACTTAAAGATTACATTATAATTATAATCTAACTAAACATTGAAAGTTAATTATCTCTATCTCAACTGTTGAACCAAACAAAAGTTAAGTTTACTACCTAAATGTGTAAGAAGTTTTACTGATTTATAGTGACCAGTTTAAATAATAAAAGTTTCTTAAGTATTTAAAAAAAAAAAATGTTTTATTTCTTTAAAAAAAAAACCCATAAATTCTGGATAGCTATATAGATAGCACTTTATTGCACCAAAAAACATCCGCGCATCATTCTAGCTGGAATGATGTTGGTCCAAAAAATCCAGCTGGATTAAAAACACTGCTGGATTGCAATCCCTAGTAATGACATGGGACAATCTTCAAATATTTGTAATATTTAGGTTAAACAAAGATAAATTTGTTCTTAGATAAGAAATTCTTATTAACAAATGTTTTTCTCACTACTACAGTTATATGCATTATCTAGGATTGGAAGAACCTTGTGACGATATCAGAATAGTTTTACTGAAAACTGCCATCAATTTGAAAGCAACTTTTATTTTCAAAACATCTGGTATGTGAAATTTAGAATATTCTTATACGTTATAAATTTTTAAGTAATCAATATTGTCTTCTATATTGCTCTTTCAAATATTTCTTTGCAAGAAATTTTCATAATACTAAAATTAAAAGGCATATCGTTGACTTATCTTAAATGTGAAATCTTTGAAAGTTGGGTAAAGATTGAGAATTTTTGATTGCCATGCATATTTTTGGTTAATTTCACAATCCTAAATACAGGGAAAAAGGAACCAGTTTGTATTTATAATATGCTTTGGTGCAAATAACTCTGTTTGTAAGGATGAGGTGTATAGTGATTGTCTTAGCTTACAAGTTCAATGTTAACAGCTGTTTTGGATCAAATCTTGATTTTTTAAGAATTTTTAAAAAATTTATTTTAATTTTATTTGTATGGGAAGATGGGTTACATTTTTTTCACTAATAAATTGAAAATAAATATTTAATAATTTACTTAATTTAATATGCTCACAATTTGATTTATTAACCATTGTAAACGACAATTACCTATTTTGAATTAAATTTGAATTCGTCCAAGATAAACACTAAATAACAACAAAGTTATAAATACTCCTTCCATGTTAACTCAAAATTTAAAATTGTAAAGAGTAGGCCTAAATCCATTTCCATTTACAAGTCAGTGTAAGTTTTAACACAGGTGCAACATCTCCAATTCCTATCAAGACAAAATGTTTCAATTCTCTTTCATTTTTATTTGTTTATGCTATTAGTAACTTATGGTATACTTTGCATTCTCATTCCACTTTTAATATTTTATTGCAATTAAACTAGAGCATCAATAGAATAAAAATACACAATTAGTAAATAAATATAGAAATAATTAATTCAGTAGCAAGAAAAAACAATGTAACCCACCTTTCCCACAAAAATAAAAATTTTAAATTTAAAAAATTAAATAAAATAATAAAGATGTGAAATCAAAATAGCCAGGAGATAGGCTCATAGTACTAGTTACATTTCAGGCTTACTATATTCTAAGAAACATGTTTGTGCCAGAACATAAATTTATTAAGTTATTATATTTATATTTTTTCCTCAAAACTGCTTACAATCAAAGATTTTTATTACTTGTGTGTAAAATTTACCCAGTTTTTAATGTAAATGAAATGAAGGTTTTGTAAAAGGATTCACAAAAGTATACTTTTGAGTCATTTTTACTGATAATCATTTCACAAGGCAGATTGCTCTGAGCGTAAAAATTGGCACTTCTGGAGGTGTGATAAACTGCAGTGAATTTATGTAAAAGATGTTATTCCACACCAAAACAACTGATGGATGCAAATTATCACCACCACAAACCATGGCAAAACAGAATGTCATATTACGTCTGGGCTCATTAGCAGCATAATTTACAGAAAGATAAAGTTGTGACAATGATGGTAAACTTGTTTGATATAAGCTTCTAATCTGTATTATCAATTAATTAGTAATAAATAACTATGAACCTCGTTGGCCTTATTGTTATAAGTACAGCTTCATCGCACACTCTTTTGATTTTTATTCACTAATGCATGATGTCCCGAATGCATTTTGGCTTTCTTTTAGAAGTGTTTTAATTATAATACCATGATGTTGAAAGTATTGATGCAACCTGCTGCAGAGGGCTGTTGAATAAGCCAAAATGCATTCTGGGACTGCATTAATGAATAAAAATCAAAAAGATGTGTGATGAATCTGTACTTATAACAATAAGGCCAATGAGACTCAGTTATTTATTACTAATTAAATGATAATCCTCACCTGTTTATTGTGAAAATCACATTTATCATATAAAATATGATATTTAGTGATCTATTATAGGATGAAGATCTGTCATGATCAGCTGTAAAAGGAAAAGAAAGCTTTTTAAGCTGTCTTTTCCTTTTACAGTAGGGTGAGGAGAAAGGATTCTGGTCTGCAGTCATAATACACAGGGAATAAAGACAATCCTGTTTTAGAAAATGTGTCTTGAACTGTTTTGAAAAAATTTCCACAAGACAGTAAGATATTTAAGAAATTTTGGAGGCTCAATTCATATGATCTTCAAAGTATGTATCTTCTTAGGTTAACGTGGAGGCAAGATATTCACTAGACGTACACCCAGTCTGTTAAATACTGTATTTAACAGGAGGATGCTGAATTTCTCATTTGAAAAAAAATCTAGCAATAAGTTACATAACTTGGCTATTTAATAATTAAAAAGTGATTTTTAAAATAAAATCAAATCTTATAACAGATTTTGTTATAATAATTTTGAGGGTAGAGATGAGATTTATAATTAAGTTCTTTATGTATTTTTAAAGATCTGTAAATGCTAACAAGAAGTAAAATCTTCATTAAGCCCAACTCCATGCAAGATGTGATCACCCTATATCTTCCCTCCCCATCACAAAAATTTAAGGAGGAAAATTTGGCATGATAGTTTGTGTACAGTATAAGTGACATTGATGCTATTAATCTTCACCCCATCTTGAGATGTTAAATAAAATAGATGCCAACACATATACCTGGAATTTTTACTTATTTGGGTTCAAGGGTCTCAAAACATAGAGGGTCAAATCAGACACAATTACACTACTTTCCCTTGTTATGTATACATAACAGCCAAGAAAGTAAAAGTCAGTTTTGTCTACACATGACTTGCAAAGTAGTAGACATCAGTNATTTTTTTATTTTGTACAAACAAAATAAATATATTGAAAAATATAAAAACAATAAAAAATTATACTTCAGAAGTTAATTTAGTATCAAAAACGTAAAATATTTGAGTAGCCGAAGACATAGCCAAAGATTACAGCGCCACAGCACTGGCGAAAATTAAATTTGTCGACTGGAATTCCTTCGGATAACCGACGCTCTACTGTATATTAATTAGTTCATTTTTTCTATATTAATAGTTCATTTTTTGTGATGAAGGTACTGACTTTTCTGAAATTCTTGTTTTTTTGCAAGAGTCATGAAGTTTCAATTGTCACTTTTTTTCCTTGAGCAAATGTCGGTAGCAGAAGATCGCATCCAAAACACCTTGTTTTTGCTTTTGCACTCCTTTCAAAATCTGGATCATTCGCTACAATTTCATCAACGATTTCGGTTATCTTACCACATTTTTACTAAGGAAATCTGTACAGAAATTTTTTGGGTTCTTTATTTTCAGAAGCTCTATTTTCCAGTTTCACATGAATTCCATGTTCTGCCAGTTCTTGAAGGTCATTGGTAAGGCTCTTACCAGAAACCTGCTGTAATTCCTCAATATCCTGCTCGTCTATATCTCCTAGTCCTGCTATATCGATTAAGTTGAGTTTGGTCAACCTAACAATACAGCAATATGCTCTTTTCGTTGAGAATTCTTGGATACCTTCAACCATAACTTCTTCCACACTTTGTTCATGCATTTATCAGTTAATTCTTGCCAAGTGAAGTCGATATTTCCTATGGCATCCATGATGTTATATTTTTTCCAAAATTGCACCAAATAAACATAGATTTAAAGAAAGTACAGTCGACCCCCCTATAATGTACGTTCCTATAACGACAATTCCTATAACGTAGCGAAAAAATTGTAGAAACTTTCGTATAAAATACCTCCTATAACGTCGTTTCGCGACAAGATTGATAGAGTCTGGACCAATAGTGGATGAGCGGCCGTCGTTTCGTGTGCTGTTCTGCGATGAAAACCAGCTTTAAGCAACGGCGTAGTCGAACGGTACACACTCGGTAANTATTTTAATTTTATTTGTATGGGAAGATGGGTTACATTTTTTTCACTAATAAATTGAAAATAAATATTTAATAATTTACTTAATTTAATATGCTCACAATTTGATTTATTAACCATTGTAAACGACAATTACCTATTTTGAATTAAATTTGAATTCGTCCAAGATAAACACTAAATAACAACAAAGTTATAAATACTCCTTCCATGTTAACTCAAAATTTAAAATTGTAAAGAGTAGGCCTAAATCCATTTCCATTTACAAGTCAGTGTAAGTTTTAACACAGGTGCAACATCTCCAATTCCTATCAAGACAAAATGTTTCAATTCTCTTTCATTTTTATTTGTTTATGCTATTAGTAACTTATGGTATACTTTGCATTCTCATTCCACTTTTAATATTTTATTGCAATTAAACTAGAGCATCAATAGAATAAAAATACACAATTAGTAAATAAATATAGAAATAATTAATTCAGTAGCAAGAAAAAACAATGTAACCCACCTTTCCCACAAAAATAAAAATTTTAAATTTAAAAAATTAAATAAAATAATAAAGATGTGAAATCAAAATAGCCAGGAGATAGGCTCATAGTACTAGTTACATTTCAGGCTTACTATATTCTAAGAAACATGTTTGTGCCAGAACATAAATTTATTAAGTTATTATATTTATATTTTTTCCTCAAAACTGCTTACAATCAAAGATTTTTATTACTTGTGTGTAAAATTTACCCAGTTTTTAATGTAAATGAAATGAAGGTTTTGTAAAAGGATTCACAAAAGTATACTTTTGAGTCATTTTTACTGATAATCATTTCACAAGGCAGATTGCTCTGAGCGTAAAAATTGGCACTTCTGGAGGTGTGATAAACTGCAGTGAATTTATGTAAAAGATGTTATTCCACACCAAAACAACTGATGGATGCAAATTATCACCACCACAAACCATGGCAAAACAGAATGTCATATTACGTCTGGGCTCATTAGCAGCATAATTTACAGAAAGATAAAGTTGTGACAATGATGGTAAACTTGTTTGATATAAGCTTCTAATCTGTATTATCAATTAATTAGTAATAAATAACTATGAACCTCGTTGGCCTTATTGTTATAAGTACAGCTTCATCGCACACTCTTTTGATTTTTATTCACTAATGCATGATGTCCCGAATGCATTTTGGCTTTCTTTTAGAAGTGTTTTAATTATAATACCATGATGTTGAAAGTATTGATGCAACCTGCTGCAGAGGGCTGTTGAATAAGCCAAAATGCATTCT